TCAAACTATATTAGAATTTCCTATACCTATCTATCTCAGATTTTGAATAAAAAGATATTTTTAAATAAAATGGTAATCAAGATGGCTGGTATCGCCATGGCAATTTTCTAGTGACAGTTAGTAACTATTTTCAAAATCGACATTAGTGTATGGACATTATTATTTAAACAGTTTACTAAAATTTACCCACAATGTTTAATAAGTAAGTATTCTTTATTTGATTAAGAAACATAAAGCCATATCTGCTGGTTGAACGAATGGATATGTTACTAGTGATTTTGTTTTGTAAGGAAAATTATTTCTTAGCCTCAAGAGCTATTGCTCAAAGATATCCAAATAGGAATCTTCCTGATAAGCGTTCCTTTGAAAAACTACTTGTCCTATTTTCTATTTCGCAGAATTGGTAGTGTAGTTTATAAAAAAAACTATTAGGCAGAAACCTGTCGTTGGAAGTTAAGAAATTGAATTTGCCGTAATTGGCTCTTTTATAAAAAATTCATATATCTACAAGTTATCGTAAAATAAAATAAAGAACTACTTCTTCGTTTTTCTTGATAGAATAATAAATACATATTATTAATAAATAATATTTATTAAACTATTGTAGATCAATTAAATAAAAGTAAACTGGTAGAGATTTAAATAAAGTCTATAAACTAATGTCGATTTTGAAAATAGTTACTAACTGTCACTAGAAAATTGCCATGGCGATACCAGCCATCTTGATTGCCATTTTATTTAAAAATCGCTTTTTATTCAAAATCTGAGATAGATAGGTATAGGAAACCGTAATATAGTTTGAAAGAGCATTTGAATCTGCTTCGATTTATTTAAAAAAATACGGGGTGTTGCATTTGAAATAAAAAAGTTTTTATGTAAAATATATCCTTAAAATAAATAACTAATTGTTGGTACCCCTGTATAAATTTAAGGAAGCAATAACATTTTTCAGTAAAGTGTATTTATTTGCCTTTAAACTCAGCACAAGAATTAATTCTTGAAAGTAATGTACAGGGTATTGATAATAAATTCTTTTGTCGCATGCATATTTAAATATCTTTAAATATCTCAAAAACCAATGATTTTAAATATATTTAATCCTTATAACAAATGTCTTTTTTTGGGCTCAATAATCCAAAAATGAAATAAAATACCGGGTGTTCCATAAGGAAAAACATAACTTTGGTATGGATCTTAGTTCTGAGACACCCTGTATATTTCAAAATAATTTTAAATTGTGCACATTGACTCCCCACATATACCCATAAAATATTTTGTTTCTACATCTTTCTGTTTTCGTATAATCAACCGAGGCGAATGAGGTGCGCCACCCTGTATAGACAAGGGAATAAGCAAAGAGAATACATCGAGCTGATTGTCGAGGTGTGCAGGCTATGCCCTGAATTTCAATTTTTAACATTGTCGGCGTTTTAGGAGGGATGAGAGTTCTTAACCGACCTACGGAAAATTTTATTAAAGCGGTGGTTATTGGGACCCTTCCGACTGTTGAGATAATAAGTTTTCTCATTTGCTCACTAGATCACTAGACAAGCGGATGCGATAACTGCGGGGAGTGATCGTCGAAACCATAGAGAAATATAAAATAAATTGAAAATTAAATATAAAATTCGATCGTTGGGTTACTGTCTGATCGAGCTCGAAACAACATTGTGGCAATTTCTTTTTGAGAAATTGTTTAAATAAAAAGTCTATTTAAATGTATAGTATTTTATAAAGAAAATTCTTTGTGATTCCAATGTCCAATGGTGTTAGTGTGTAAGGCCTTATTGTGGAAAGGATTTGTTTTATTAATTAACTCATTAAACTGTCCTGATGATGGGAATAAATTTCTCGAAAGCTTGACAAATTAAAAAGTAGTTTTATTAGTCTATGTGGTGATTATTGACTGCATTCTCACTTGAATTAATTAATAATAGATCTTTAAGCTCGCAGTGATTATCCCCCCCCCCCACCCCACTTTGACCCATTCTACGCATTCTCTCACTAGAATTAGTTCTTTTTTATTTAATTTATATATAAATAATAGAAATAGAGGACCGTCTATTCAAGATGGTTATGACAAAATTTGAATTACTGTAGACATTACACTTCTTTAATTGATTAATTTTAATTTATTAGCATTAATAATTCATAACTTTGTTTTTTGGCTCGAAATATATTTGAGAGGGTTTATAGAAAGGTAATATTCATACTCAAACCTACGAAAATGCGAATTATTTTAAGCTCAAAAAGTGAAAGTATAACACATATTTATACAGTGTGGCCTACTAAACTGAAAAAAGTCTATAAAATATTGTTTCTTCTTTAAATCTTAAAAATATAAAATCGTGAAATATGTAAAATACATTACCGATATTTTTTTAACTGAAAGTAATTGTCTGTGCTTATCGGTTGCTTATTTCGTCGATGACAAAAAAAGTTGAGAAATTAGATTAGAATTTGTTTTTACTGTAAAACTCTTACTTAAATTTTTTTAATCGCGCTGTACTTGATGTGTACAGAGTGTTTTCTTTAACACTGTAATGATACGTTATATTGGTTGGTATGGTACCGGTACAAAAGTTGCTCACCCCTATAACTTTTTTATTCTTTTAAATAAAAAAACGAGAGTTGGTATGTTAATATATGACATAAATTAGGATTAATTGACGTATTCAATTATTTTCTACCATTTCCTGTTTCATCGGAAATAACTACAACTTTTGATTTTTAAATGGCACCCTCGGTATTTTTTTACTTTATTCCTCTATGCTTTATTCGATAGAAAATCTCACTCTGAATCGAATGACATATCATATATCAACTTTTGACACTTTCTCTTAAAACAAAATTGTATGTTAAATTTCAATCTAGAGTGTTATGGCTGTGTTAAAAACACTAATTTTTAATCAAGGAACCTGTTGTCCTGGCCGGTTAAAAGATGCCCAAATAGTAATTTTTAATCATATCTCTTTTTCAAATGGAACGAGGGTGGCTCATTAGCATATTTAGAAAAAGCATTTTTTTACGCATAATTTGGTGCCACACACTTGATATTTCGAGTCAAGTTGTCGTTATAAACCGCATGTTACAATTTCAAATACATATGCCATATGCGAAAATGTTAAAAGTTGACATATAAAATGTCATTCTAGTCAGACTGTTATTTTCTATCGAATAAAATAGAAATATAACGAGGGTGCCATTTAAAAATCAAAAGTTGTAGTCATTTCCAGTGAAACAGGAAGTGACCAAAAACAATTGAATACGTCAATCAATCCTATTTTATGTCATGTACTAACATACCAAATCTTTTTTCTTTTTTATCTGAAACAATAAAAAAGTTATAGGGGTGAGCCACTTTTGAGACGCACCCGGTATATTTTTTCCCGTCAAACAAGTAACTAAGGGATTCTGTATACTGATTTTTACACTAATAAAACTATAATAACTAGTAGGCAATTTAATAATTGAAGGGTGCAGGCAAAGAAGGCGATATGTCAATTTTTGTCGAAATCGAGTTAGTCAGGGCATCTATTAGACAAAGCTGTAAACTTTTCTCCTACAAATTGTGAAGACTTAAAAAGCGAGCAGTCAACAAATACAACCCATTTTATTTTTGCCATACAGGCTAAAAAGGCGATACGTCCGCGCGAAACCCCGAAAAAAGGCGTTAAGTCGCTGGCGTTGTCGAAACAAGTTACAAAATCATACGCATTATTTTGTCAGTAGGTTTTTAATAGGCATGCAGGGTTGTTAGTTCTGTGTTTATTACGCCTATGTTTGTTTGTGTTATTTGTTTATAGTAAGTTATATCGTTGTTTAAGTTTTGATTGAATTATGAATACGTCTGAACTAAATAACTCTAGTAAAAAACGAAAAAAATACGGTAAAATGAGTGATGTAAATAAACTGATAAACCTCAGAAGTCATTCTCTAGGAGAAAACTGTAAGTGTAAAAGGTTTAAGTGCTTTGAACATATTTCAGAGTCGTCTCGAAGAAAAATAATTCAGAATTTTAATTTGCTTGGTTCAATCAATGAACAAAATATATATTTGTGTGGTCTTATTTCGGTTTTGCCGGTTAAACAACGCAGGCCCAGACAGTCTGAGGAGAATGCTGTCCTCCATGATGCTACGTTTAGCTATCGCGTAAGACTTCAAAGTGCAGAGGGAAATACCGAAGAAGTGCAAGTATGTCAAAAGGCATTCATGGCTATCCATGGAATCGGTCGAAAAAAGTTGGAAGTTTTACAGCGATCTTTAAAAAGGATTGGAGAGGCACCAAAAGATCAAAGAGGTAAGCACAAAAACCGCAAACACACACTGTCTGATGAAACTCGAAATGTGATCAGAAGTCATATTAAATCATTTAAAGGTCGCAAAAGCCATTATAGCTTACATGATTCGAATAAATTATATTTGCCGGAAGACCTTAATATAAAAAAAATGTATGCATTGTACTGTCAGAAGTTTCCAAACCATCCCATTTCCTATGAAACTTATAGAACTATTTTTTCAAATGATTTTAATATAGCCTTTGGATATCCGAGATCTGACACATGTAGTCAGTGTGATGAATACCAAGCAAAAATTAAAAGTTTAGAGACTCAAAAGCTGAATTTATCAGAAACGGATCTGAAGTATCGTCAAATAGACAGAGATGTACAGCGAATCTCCACAGAAAATAAGGTGCATAAGATGAAGGCTGAGCAATTTTATAAAAGGAAAAGAGAAGCTAAAAGAGATTGCCAACAATCTGTAGACAACGAAGCGATTTGCTTGGATTTCGCTAAAAATCTGCCTGCTCCGAATATAACGACCAACGACGTATATTATAAAAGGCAGATGTCAACTTTTTTTTTTAACATTCATGTTCTTTCTACATCTCAAAGCGTTTTCTATGGGTATCCCGAAACTGTAGGGAAAAAAGGCAGTGATAATGTATGCTCTTTATTGCACCATTTTTTATATAATTACCTCGACAAAAAAATACCTAAGCTTGAAATATTTTGCGACTCCTGCGGAGGCCAAAATAAAAACTATACGATGATGCGATTTCTACACTACGTCGTGCATACGGAGAAAAGGCTAGACAGTGTGAAAGATTCATTTCCGATACGAGGGCATTCGTACTTAGAGTGCGACAAGGATTTTGGTTTAATAAACCAAAAGAGTAGAATCGAAGTTCCAGAAGAATGGTATGAGGTGTTTAAAATGGCAAGAATCAAACCGGTCCCTTTTGATGTTGAAAAAGTTACACAATCGTACTTTCGAAGTTGGACTGCTTTTCTATTAAAACGCTACCGACGTATATGCCCTTTTCCTTCTAGACCGCTCAAGGAACTAAAAATAGCCAAGGAACATCCCAGATTGATTTTACATCGGGATAGCTATAATGGTAGTTGGGAAAGTAGTGTCGTCATCGACGCGAAATTTAAAGTCGTGGGAAAAAATAAACTAAAAGAAGAAGAGTTTGAACTTCCAGATTATTTATACAAAGGTAAAAAACGATTTTCTTTTTGTAGCAAGTGACTAATACATTATTATTTAATAGATCTATTGCCTATAAGTACATCAAAATGGAAGGACCTTCAGAACCTTAAAAAGTTTTTACATTCATCTGCTCAAGACTACTTCAATTCGGTACCACACGAGTGACATGGTTGTGTAGCAGGTAAAACGAACTCTTTTTCTCAAGTCTGTTCAATCTAATTTGAGCTATATTTTTAGATACTCAGCCCAAAAGTTCTATAATGATGACAGACACCAACTAAGCACTTTAAAATTTTAGTTTTATGGGCATTTATTCAAATATTGCCTTTTTTTTTGAAATATCATGTTATTTTTTTCATGACATAACTCCTTTTTTCCCTGTCTTAATGTGACTTTTTGTGAAAAAATGCCTTTTTTGAGATTAAAAAAAATGTTAAAAATCTAACTGTGTGTATTTTTTGTACACCAGAACCCTATTAAATAATAGTACATAAAAATAATGTCTACTTTGCTTTCGTAAATTAACTTTTAAAGCTCTTCAAACTTTTAAAAGCGTTTTTCTCGGAACTGACTTTTTTGACATATCGCCTTCTTTTCCTGTACCCTTCAATTATTTTAAGTTATAATATTTTATAATAATGAAATAGCGTTTTTTATCGTTAAACTGCAATTCTAAAATTTTAATTTAATTCAGAATTTTTAATTTTTATTTTATACGGGAAACTCTTTGCATACGCAATATAATATTATATTTACACAACAATATAATATTATATTGTTGTGTAATGCGTTTAATGTCTTGTCCAAATAGACAAACTATTATGTGTAGTGTTGTTGATTTTACCCTTAATCTAAGGGGGGGGGGGGATTTTACCTACGCTATATCAGGAGAAGTTGATTGGATTGAATTATAGTTTTGACATAAGGACCTTGTAGCTGAAAATAGCTTCGATAAAGACGAAAATACACGTCAAATTTAATGTCGGCAATGAATCGTCGTGAATAGGGAATGCAATCCCGCAAATGCGGGATCCCTCTGAGATTCCGCGGGATCAAAGTTGCGGGATTTACCGTGCGGGATCCGCGGGATCGACCCATTACTACTGGGTAACCGAATCGATCTCTATCCGGGTGAAACCATTTCGTTCCGGGCCGATGCATCGACGGTCGGAACCCGAGGATTCCCCTTACGGCTTGGCCTTTAAAAATAAGTGAAACAAACAGGTTACTTGTTAGATTTCTTTCTGGCGTATGTGCGTAAGTGAAGAAAACCGTTTAACTAGTACTTGTGGACAATTTCGTCAAATAAACTACCGGACATATGTAATTATCGGGACAAGCAAAATTTTAGGGTAAATTTAAAGTTGAATAGGTATCTCTTGAACTAAAAAGATTTTGGGATGCGGTTTGGACCAGGTTTTAGATGCATCTATTGTGATTAAGATGCTGTATGGTTTTCGAAAATATATTTAGCGAATTCTCGTATACAGGCTGTTTTATAAGAATGTGAAAATTTGGTCAAGAATCTTCTTTACCGCAAATTTACAATTTTTAAGAAATTTTTACCAAGTACGACTAATCTGTATTGAAAATTGAAATTAGAAAAAACAATTTGATAAGTTTTTTAATTTTTGTTTTAAGGAAAATACGATGTTTTTTTTTGAAAAATATGCATTTTTATAGTCATACGTATGGTCCTAAATGGTACAAAAAGCTTTGTACATTCTGCATATGCCAAAAAATGTTTGATATAGAGTGTATCTAAAAGCAGATAACTAAAACAAGTTAAAAAAAAAATCAACATCAGAATAATATTTTTATTTATAAAATAAGTAGATAAATTATAATAAAATTTAAGTTTATTTAATATTAAATATATTTTTTGAACACCCTGTATACATCGGTCCAAATTTCTGTACAGCTAGTTTAAGATACACGCTATATCAATATATTGTGGGCCTATGCAAAATGTACAATGCCTTTTGTACCATTTAGGACCAAATGTATGCCTATTGTTTACAGTCCCGCAATTTTGCGGATCCGCGGGATTGACTGCTTTAATCCCGCGGGTTTGCGGGATTGAGATTTTGGTGCGGGATTGCATTCCCTAGTCGTGAATGTCGGCAATTTAAAAAAGAAGTTGTTTTAATTCCTTGTCCTAAATATGCGAACGCAATTTCATCTGCGTCTGTAACATAAGGACGCAAATCTACCACATTTTTTTATAATAATAATAAACTTCTAGAATAGAATATAAATTCCTTTAGGACTATACATATATTTGAGAAATATAATATTTTTTACTTTTATTTAAAATGTATTATATTATTTACCGTCTTCAGCCTAACAAAATTTTTGTAAAAAGTAAGCACATAAGAGTATTCATCCTTAACCTAGATATTATCTCACCGTATTTTTGCAATATTAACTTGCGTTCAGGTTTTGATTTTGTTGCAATAACTAAGAGGATAAGAACCTGTAAGTACCTACTTATATACTCTATTATATATATTTCAAAATTATTTTATATCGAATAGATAAGGTTTTGATCTACCTATAATCATCCTGCATGTTTATTGATATTCATATAAATATAAAAACTACAACATCCAAATATAAACCAATTCAAAAATATAAATAAACTAATATCTAGTCCAAAAAATAATAATATAGCATTTTATTTACCTTTTTGTGTTTAAATATAGAGTAAAAACCAATCACAAAACACTATCACAACTTGTCATACATTGTATTAACAAATAGCACTTGTTTGCGGTATAATTTAAACTTGGTTTGGTTATTATATACCAACAGTCAATAATTTATCACTTTTTTTCACGGACCTTGGAATATTTGCAATTGAATTTCCCACCTGCTGTAGAAGTTTATTGGACTTGAATATCTCTCAAGTTACCTTACTTGATGATACTAATATACTATAATATCGTCTACTTATAAAAAAATCGCCAATGGTTCTTGATGATGGGGGTCCCCTTTCCATGTTATGGGAGGATTATTTTACGCTTGACATTGAAATAATAAATTTGCAAATCTATATTTAAAAATATTAGTATTTGTTACATGCATATTATAATACTTTAATTTTGACATACATTATTTAATTACTTGATAGAATCGAATTATGAAATATTTGAATATTGAATTTACCGGTTAAATTATATTTTAAACCACTAGTGACATCCATAGGTTTCTTAGAGAGTATTACTCAAAAAATAAAAGAAAGCTGTTAATTTCTTTGTGAGGACATCTTTTGGTGTATTGTTGAATAAATATTAAGTTTTGTAGCGACATCTACCGGTGATATTTTCAAGCAGTTCTTTTTTATGGTGGCTCTGAAAATTTGTAAGTAAATATTTTTAAAATCAGCGATCATCTCAAAAAACGGTATATAATTAGCGATTCAATATTTTAAATAATACTTAACATATCATTGTATAATTTATAAACTGCATATTGCAGTGTATCTTATTTTCTGTACTAATAATTTCCCGAAAAAGTAAATGTTAGGTTATAACAACATAATTTGTGAAAGTCTAGTATTTAAGATTTGTTGATTCTTAGTTTATTATTTTTAGATCACAATGGGGAAGATAATGAAACCAGGTAAAGTCGTATTGGTCCTTGGTGGCCGTTACGCCGGCAGGAAAGCTATCGTAGTAAAAAACTACGATGAAGGAACTGGAGACAAGCCCTATGGTCATGCATTAGTTGCTGGAATCGACAGATATCCACGTAAAATTCACAAAAGAATGGGTAAAGGAAAGATGCATAAAAGGAGCAAAATTAAGCCATTCATTAAGGTATGTTTGGTTGTACTAAAATATTAATCATTTAGTTAGTATGTTACAGTTGTTTCTGTGTACGACAGTCTTCAATAAAGTATGTTAATGCCTATTTCTAAAATATAGATTAATAAGTTGTATTATACAGTCATGTATGTTTATTTGTGATTAAACTGAGCTTATTTTTTTAGACACTAAACTACAATCATTTAATGCCAACTCGTTATTCAGTAACAGATCTTACTGATGTTAAAATCACAACCAAGGATTTGAAAGACCCAATGAAGAGAAAGAAGGCTCGTTTCCAAACAAGAGTTAAGTTTGAAGAGAGGTATAAGCAAGGAAAGAATAAATGGTTCTTCCAGAAATTGAGGTTCTAATTATAATATATTAGCATTTAATAAAATAAGATAATTTTAGTTCATTTTTTTATTTTATCCTATTCTGCATTTAAAAGCTTTCTGAATGAAAATATATTGAGTCTTGACTTGATTATTGTTGAATTAAAAATAATGTTTGACATAAAATAATGTAGTTAACGCAGGTATTTCTTAATGATGGTGTGTTAAGTTTTTTTATTTATAATTTTTATACCCTTTTGCCTGCTATATTCAGATTCTATATTACGTATATTCACAATACAGCAGCATTTACACAAGTGTTAAAAAATGACGTAATTAATCTAGTCAATACAATGATCAAATAAAAGAAAATTAATATTAGAAACATAAAACTTAAAAAATATGCTAACATACGTTTATTACAAAAAAAGAATGAACACAACAATAAGAGATGTTAAATATCAAAAATTTTAGAGTTCCATTTAGAAACTCTTCCACTGAGTAAAAGGCATTGAACAACACAATTCTTTTAATGGCGCTTTTAAAATTTGGTATACTTTATTGGTATATGGCAGCTTGTTAAAAACCTTATTCCCCAAAAGCTTATCCTTCACATCTAGCATTAAATTTACTTTTTCATAGTGCAACAGTATTGCAAAATTGTGGTACACAAAAGATCCATTGCAATTGATAACAATCACTGGTTTTATTGATCATAATCATAGAGATCATATAGACTGTTGAAACTTAATGGACATATTTTCATGTTTTTTTTTTAATTTCTCTAAAACGGAATGGAGTTGGAAAAGTATAAACGGGATTAACCATTTTAAAACAAGCAAAAATTATGAAGAACGCATTTTATTCAAAATATCAATAATAAAAAAGTTTTTCCTCTTGAAAAGACAATCCGGGGATATACTGTATACAGTAAAGCTTTTCTTGGAAAATATATTGTCTGGAACGGCGCTTTTTTTTAATTTAATATGAAAGTAATAATATATAATAAACTAATATCTCAAATGCCTTTTTTATATGGTTGAAAATTTTAACAATCAAGGCTATGGAAAACATAGTAGATTAGATATTCAGCTCAGCAGGAGCATTAGATTTTTTCCAGCGATTTTTTACCAATAACTACCAAATTAAATCAAATGCTGATCAGGAAACAATAATTAAGAACTTCAAAGTATTAATTATTTACATTATTTATTTGTTAACTATATATTATGGACGCAAATAACAGTATATAACAAATCAAGCATTAAATTATAAAATAATGCATGAATAATTGTTTCCAATAACAATACTTGTCGATGGAAAAACATACTTCTCAATAGAATATAAATATAATATATTTTAGATAATAGAACTATTTTTAAAAAAATATTTAGAATATAACCTAGAAAAGTATTAGATAATGCAATTTAATGAATAATGAATAAATATATTAGATGAAAGGATATTTAATTAATGAAAATCAGATAATACTATTAAGTACTCAATTAAGAATATTTACATCATTTTAATATTTCAATCAACACAGAGCATATACAACCTGTACCAAAAATATCCTATTGTATATGTATGTAAAGTGAATCCTGCAAAAGCAGGGATAATTTAGAGAGAAGACATGCAAAAAATGACTGAAAATACAATCTACATTTCTATTAAAATGATAGACATTTGTCACTGTCATGTATTCTCTAGTTTCTAGTTAGATTTTAACAACTTGAAATATTTATTGTTAAAGTGTGATTTTCCGGTACACCCTGTATATATTTTAGATTTAGAACACTTGTAATTTTCACATCATGGTGAAATAAAATCTGCCAAAGCAGCCAAAATTGATATATTTAATAACAATAATAACATGTAATAAAAAAATAACGGCGTCAGAGATCAGAGATGGCTTGAAATTATTGGAAATTGCTGTCAAAAAATAGGTAAAATTATACTGTCGAACTGGGCAGTAAGCCAACCAGATCACGTTTTTTGATCATACAGTATTATAATTAGGCAAATAAACACTGAATTTACCAAAAGAAATAAATAGAAAAAAAAGTTTTCAAATCTCTTAATCAAATAATCTCAACATAAGCTGTTCAAATAATTTTTTTCTCATACCTGGAAATATTATTTTAATACCAGTGTTACCATCTATGATGTCAAATTTTGAAAAAAGTCTAATTCACGAAGATGTAACAGTCAATCAGATAAGTTTAGGTTATATACATGATGATAGAGTTAAATATCTAGTTTAACCAAAAAAAACCTCAGCGTTTCAAAAACAGTCTTGTATATTATAATACAGATTAACCTGTCTGACTGTTACATTGTTCAGATTTTTTATTTAAATGATTTTAAAAATGTCACTTTTTAAGAATTTAGGTGCTATATATACATCTTCAAATTGTTATGTTTACATGCTTCTATAAAATCAGTCATTCCCACAGTTCATTTGGAAAATTATTTACTTCAGTTTGTTCCAGGACAGGGTTACCATCAACAGTATAAGAAATTCTAATCCTCATTCTAAGAACATTCTGTAAAAAAGGTGTTTTTAATTAGAGAAGAATCCCTAGTAAAATTGTTTTATTTTATATTTTAAGGTAAATGAAAATTACTATACTTTAGTAGTATATCAATGGGCTCTTTCACAAAAAATAAAATACCCAATTCAAGGACAAAATCTGGAATAGAAGACTATTTTCAGCATATTTATCCAAAAAAAATAATTCCATGACATTGAATAATTTTTTTATAGACCCCCAAAATTGCTTTAATTTGGAATAATTATAAAGTGCCAATTGATGACGTATGAAAAATACGCCCAATCACATTGCAGAACCGTGCTCGTGCGCCAGCCAGCAACTGGCAAAATTGCGATTTGATTTGACGTGCATGTTGAATAATAAATTTGAGGTTAAATTTTTTGTTTACTCCGTATCTGAAAGCTTGTAATCAAATTTTAAGTTTTAAATTGTTATTTTTTGATAATTTGTTCCATCATGGTCGTACTACCTGGATTCGAAAAGGCGTCATCTGATAACCTTCCTAAAGTTGACGCCGAAATGGTTAACGACTTTGGTGGCCCGGCGGTGTTGCCGCTTTTCAACATGCCAGGTGTGACGTATTAAAATTCTTATTCTGTATATTGTATATTCTCTAATGACTTCAAGATTTTCGAAAGTGAGATAGTAGAAAATTCTAGAATTAATTCAATTATGTGAATTCCAAAATACAGTGAAAGAGCCCATTGCCCAAATTGATTTAGTCTGTCCAACATAAATGACATAAAATACATATTACCTGTGAAACTGACAAGTATAAATGTTACTGTCAGGGATCCTCTCATTGGATAGACTATATTTCAATATTTTAACACAAAAAAATTGAAAAAGAATACTTACTTGTCCTGGATTAGTTACTTTTAAAACTTGGGTAACTACACCATTCGAAGGAATTGCTGTATCAGATGGCGAAAGCATTTGAATTTGGAATGTCTACAACAGAAAGAATAAAAAACATATACGATTTTTTTTTCAATTATACCTTAGGCACAGCCGCTTGAAACAGGAAATCAGACATAGTGGATAATGAGTGATTGGACGCTGTTACATTTATTGTAGCAGTATTATTTTCCTTCGCACTGTCAAATGAAAAAACAACTTGCAATCCATCTCCCTCGAATGCTGTTAACGGTGGTATACTTTTGATTTCAGTTTCAGTATTTCCACTACTAAACAAGTCATCTAAAAATATATTTGAAATATTAGACTATAATCTTTCTTTATCAAAGTAAATTGAGACTTAACCAGTAAGGAAATTGGAGTTTTGGTTACTCATCACTGGTAACAAATTTGCATTATTATTTTCTAGGATTAAATCCATGTTGTTTGTTGTATCGTTGGCTACAGGCGTCGAATCTCCCAATGGACCCAAACCTAAAAGATCTAGCAGATCTTGATTATTTGTATTCAAGACGGAAGTTGGCTTAGATGGTACAGACGACGGTTTAATAATATCCAGATCGTCAGATCCCCCCAGTAAGTCCAATAGAGCATTCTGAAATATTAATAAATAAATTTACGTAAAAAAACTATACATATAAAGTACATAATTCGTTCTAATCTAATTGCGACAAGGATAGTAGTGATAAAACTTAGACACTTTGATAAAACAATTCGCAATTTCGTTTGTTGTATATGCTTTATTTAATTAAACAAAAACATAACATACTGATTCACTTGGTACATGTTGAGGGCTACTTTCTTCAGAATGTGGTTCTAATCCATCTAAATCACCATTAGTGTGAAGAGTATCATCTGGCTGTCGGACAACTTCCATAGGTGGCATCCTGCATTAATACATGAAATTTACAAATTCAAGAGATTTTAAGGACAAGGGCAAACGTCGATATTTTAAGTTCAGGGTATTTAGATTACAAATATTTGCAATCTAATGTCTCTTTTAGTATTATAATTAAAGAAACCTCATACAATATTTTATGATACCCGTATTTTTTATTTTATTCTTTCTTTCTCAATTTCATAAAAACAACTAGCTCACCCGGCAAACGTTGTTTTGCCATAAAAATTATTCCTATAATTATTTTAGTAGAAAAAAATGTCTAACTTGTTGTCGCAGTGTATAAATGTATTTGGAAATAACACTGACATACTGAAATTATTAGGAAGTGAGAAACGGCTTATTGTGTGAGATAGATCTCATCCCTACCCCGTTCTGTTGACTGGGTCAGAAGTGACATCGGTAGACGTCTGGCCGGGATAACTGATAATTGTAAGTGATAATTTTATTGATCCAGTTATCGACCAGGGTTGAAAATTATTGAATTACTAATATCGCTATTAAAAACTAAGGGTTCATTGTAGAAGGGTGAACATTTAGGGTTACGTATTGTTTAATGCTACATCATAAAAAAATCGGGTGGACCACCCTTATCATTTAGAGATATAAAAAATAGATAACAACCTAGTCTCAGACCTACTGAATATACATATAAAATTTCATCAAAACGTATTAAAACTACGTATGACGTATTAAAAATAAAGTGCGGATTTTTATACTGGTCTTTTTTGTTTTTATTTATTTTCTTAAGAACGACTTCAAGTTTTTCGAAAGTGAGATAGCAGAAAATTCTAGAATTAATTGCTTTATTCAATTATGCAAATTCCAAAATATAGTGAAAGAGCCCATTGGGTATGTTCAGAATATTATTGATTAGTGACGCCCTCTGTTGCTTATCCCATAAAATGCGCATAAGTGACGTTATAACTTTATGACATGCCATTCTTTTCTTTACAAAATATCTTTCAATTACAGTACGTCTATCCGTTCTGTAGCTACGGGGCATCCGTAAGGGGGGAAACTATATTCTCTCGATGTTTCTCGTAAAAAATTAGACGACACGTTCCATCAATAAAAATTCGACAAATTTGTAGTAAATGAAATGGGAGGGTGGAGTGTTTTGCGGTGACATGCTCGTCAAATCCACGTGAACTCTCTACCGATTCTATTTAGGCAGTGATTTATAAAATATATTGCTGTTTATTTAAATGTTTTTTTTGTCTGCATTCCTTTCATAGACACAAATCCAGTAGAAGTACTTTACTTGAACTTTACAATAAAAATCAATATGTTTGACTATAGGTCTGTTGCATTTTCCGCTGGTGCTGCCATCGGAGAATACCGTAAACAGCCGACTAAACAAACAGACGAGTTTAAGTTTGGCAAGAGTACACGAAAAATTGGTCATATAGATATTCTAAGCACAGTTCTAAGTGTTAGGAAGTATAATTTGAGAAAATTAAAAATAAAATAAAAAGGTAAATATTTTGAAATCTCCAGAAGGTCTAACTTGTATTAAAATTAATTATTCAAGCTAATAAGTCTTTAGATGACAATGGGATCAACTATGGTAGTGAGCATAGTTTTACGCATCAGTTTTGCTAGGGGGACATAACATAGTGGGGGCTATTTGGACTATAACGAAATTTTTTAAAGGTGCATAATTATAATTTTAGAAGATGTTCACAAAAAAATTCTAAATGAAGCTTAGATTATAGATAAAATTCCAAATTTAGGTTTTTAAAACATATCCAGGGTATGTCCAACATAGACTGCTATACTACACATCGACACTTACCTTTCCAGTAATGCTGGCCTCAAATGACTATATTTTCCAAACAATTGTGAGAACTCTACTCCTCTTTGCTGCAACTCTATGTGAAGATTTGAACAGAAGGAACTGATAACTTGTTGAATTTGACTGTAAGAAAGCATATTTGGTCAATTATCTTATACAGGTCAAGAACTTTGAATGCAAAACTTACTTTGTAGAACTAAATCGGGTGCTTAACTTTGTGAGAGACATCAAAGCATACTGTTTAGTTGTGGGGGTATTTTGTGGACTCCATAAAAGTCTACAAATATAATAATTTAATATATTTTAAATACTTATTGACATATCTTAATTTAATTTTATGTCTATGTACTAAAAGTTTCAAAAATATAATGGAACTTTCAAAGAATAACAATTTCTAATATTTTTTATTATAAAATATATAATTTTGTTCTGAACTTTCTTGTATAGTCTGTATAATATGGATATTTTTAGTCTGTAAGAAAGTTTTAATAGTGTCATTCCTAGAAGATTGTTGTCATTAAGTTCTTTCACAAACCTATGATAGATGTTAATGACATCTTCTTCAGTGGGAGATTGAATACTGTGTTCTTCATCTGGAGGGGCTTGCAGAAGTAAATCTCCATATTCACCTAAAATTATAATAATTTTTTATATTAAAAAATGTATCTTCTAAAATGAAGATTTGTTGGTTTTTGTTGGATGTCATACCTATAGCCCAAACTGCGACCTGTGTTAAAGGTTGCCTGTTTTGTAAATCTTCAGATAAAGCTTTGTACAATTGTAATGCAATGTAGCCTTGGTGACTTGTACTTTCTGATATTAATTGTATTGTTGATGCTATAACGTCATCCCGAACATAGTTTCCCGCCTTAAAAAACAATTACAATAAAAAATATACATTAACTAATACTAGATACTTACAGCTACGAGAACCTTCAGTAAAGTATCTAAATGCCATCTTTTATTTGGAGCAAACCTTTCAGCTGCTAAAACAATACTGCTTGAACAAGGAGCTTTAAACTCCGGATCAGATTTTTCCAAAAATGCTAGTAGATCTTTCATCATTGTTCTGATGTTCTGTGTATTTACTAATGCAAAAGAGAGTTCCATTGCCCTCCTTCTTATTGACACATCTGGATCTATTAATAGAAATATAAAAAGTAATATATAATTTATTAATGAGTTTATATTAATAAACTTGAAATTTCTTTTAATATTATAACGGATTTTATATCTTAGCATCACCATAAGAGATAAAAAAAAAATAAATAAAATGTACCTTTCAAATACTCTAGAATAGCTGATGCGGATTTTATATCTTAGCATCACCATAAGAGATAAAAAAAAATAAATAAAATATACCTTTCAAACACTCTAGAATAGTTGATCGATGCCTCTGAACTGCTGATGTATCTACATGAACTGTTCTCAGTAATGTATTTAAAGCAACATATCTGATATTTTTGTCGTTATTTAACAAAAACCTTCCCAAAATATTTACTGCTAAAACCTGTGTGAATACAAATGATTATAATACAAACTTTCTTTTAGCTATTAATCAACTTACTCTGAGGCCACCTTCAGACTTAATATCCATAATAGATAGTACCGTTTCATACAGGATGGTGTTTCCAACATTCTTGCTTGTCTCAGTATTTGTAGCTACTTGTGCTAAAATATCATTCATGGCTTCAGAGGTATCAGCATCATTAATACCCAATATTCTTAGAAGTTTTAATATTTTAACCTAAAATGGCAATATTATTTTTTAACCATATTTTTTATAAATAGTCTAATATTACCTGCAAAAACGGATCACTAACTCCAGATACATCATGTTCAGGAGAATATCCAGCCAGAATTAGATTTTTTAATATCCTCACTAAATTGGGAACAATCTAAAATATATTAATACATGAATACTGTTGAAAATATAGTTTGTCCTGACAAAGTAGTCTGTCCAGAAGAGTAGTGCTGGATGATTTCAGACTTTCTTTAAATATTTACCTTTTTAAAATGATTTAGCGTATCAGGACTATTTTCACACATTTCTGTTATTAAAGTTATTCCAGTAATAAGGACACCATGATTTTTATCAGATAACATGCTTCTTGTAGCAGGTAAAAATATTTCCATTAATTCTGGTACTCTAAAAGAACAACAAATTTAATCTAGTATACAAAAACATCACTCTATTTTACCTTTTAATTATTCTATAGGCACACAATGCTGCTTTCTTTCGAATATAGGCATTAGGTGATTTCATTAATCTTTCTACTTCGCCAGCTAAATCTCTAGCCATTTCTGGAGAGGCTATGGCCCCTAAAGTGCACAAAGCTAATCCAACAACAAACTGAGTTGTAGAATTAAGATCACTAAAACATATTATATTCTTCATATTTGTATATAACACTATTAAAAGAACTTACTTTTTCAAACAATTTGTAATTAATAAATGTACATCTTGCCTTTCATCTAATAATAGCATAGCACCTAAATATCCTATTCTTTTATCCGTAAATCTTGAACTTGCTATAAGTTTAAGACATTCTAGTTGCCCAAAATGTGCTGGATATCCTAGCATATGAATGTATAACAGTTTGGCTATATTTCGACATCTGAGAACAAAATAAATACATATAAGAAATGTATACATTAATATGTTTAATATCTAATAAATTCCTCTTCACAAACATAACATTTTCATAAAATTCTCTAAAATTTGAGATCTTATAAATTTTCATTTTAGGTCAATCCATAACATTCAGATGAAGTATATAGTATTATAATGTTATACAAGAATAAATAAAAATATACGTACTTCAAATTGTAAAGATAGAATATACTCAAATGGTTAAAATTTACAAATAAGAAATGTATTTCTTATAAACCGTAACCACACCGTAACTACATAACAGATATCAATTGGAATACTTATAACTTCAAATAAAATGACCTTTAACTATTGAATACTTAATGAATTACTAATTACATTGAATTATTGGTTCATGAATTACCTCCAAACAGAATCCTCTTCACGGAATGTACTTCTTATATATGCACATTCTTTATTAACAACACTTCTTTCTTCAGCGGCAGTTCTTGCAGCCCTAATTTGCCGTATTAAGTCTCGAAGTCGCATCGGTGTAGGCATCCGGACTGGAATGCACAAAATTTGAAGTTTTATCTCAATCGGAAGGTAGCTCTACTTACCCCTTTCGATGGCCTCATTAACCACCTGCTTGATTGTGGCCATGTTAAAAGCCGGGTTAAATCTAAAATTAATGTTGTTAAGTACCTACTACACTACAAATTTGTTTAAATATTACCCATGCTCTGAAGCATTCATATTAGTTTTTATGGACACACAGCTTTAAACAAGTTAACAAGTATGTTAATCAATATACACACATTTAGGTATAAAGACAGGCTTTAATTTAGTTTAATGATCTTGTTTATGGGCTTTAAATATTGTTGAAAGTGCTGCAATTACTGCTGGGGGCACTAAACACAAAAATTCACCTGTATTTTGCACCTTGCTGATTTGACAGTTGACAGTAAATTTTAACCTGCTATAAAAGCAGCATATTATGATGAAAATTTAAAGAACAATAAAGTGTACAAAATTATTTATGGATATTAATAACTAAACCATAACTAAACAATGCATAATTATTCAGACTTGAACTGTCCAATGATTTCTCCATAGATTTGTCATTAAAATAAAATAATGGCCGATTGTGACAAACGTCAACTTCGTGTCAACTTTCAACTTCAACAAATTGACAACATGGACCAATGGACATGTTGACAACCGCCAACTGGACAGGGTTTTTTTTATTTTTTATAAATTATATGTGGAAATTGGAATTTTTCAAATTTGTCAACTTCCAAAGTTATTTGAAAAGTAGTCTTAGCAGAAAACGTTTAGCAGTGATTTTATTGATCAATCCAATATCAAAATAAAGCCAATTTTGATCATTTTCAATTTTACATACGCTTATTTTCTTTTCGATTTCTACCACTTTTGTATCCAAAGCACTTTTTGTTTATCATAGCTATTTGTTGATAATCGTTATCAAAATGAACAATGCACAGCAAGCTTAAGCGAAACGAATGCCTAATTCCTATTAAACATAAAAAATAATATTCTTTTACCTTCGGTTAGCCTCAGGTGGCAAAACACTCCAATCTGATTCATAATATGGATACATATTGCCTAATTTTTACCTTTAAATGTATTGAAGACCTGAATAAAATTTTAAATGGATTCCTGATAAGAAAATGTAAACCTATTTACTAGATAAGAGGTTTACATATCTTTATCAATTTTATTAATACCTGTTATGTTTACATTATGTGAAAAAATAGAGCACATATATAGGTATTCTTTATCATTACACTATTTAAGACATCTAGGAATGGAATATTAAATAATTTTAATTAAGAATATTGTTAACATAACTGCACTGCTTTTCTTAATCCCTTATTTTTAAATTTTTTAATAAGTGGTTGATAATAAAAATGAAAAGTTAAAATTGGAAATGGACACTACAATAAGCTGCTTGTTGCAGTATTTTTAAAAGGTCTTAAATCATAATTACACTTACATATAGGAATACAACCAAAACAGTAGTTTATAATATAAATTTATATTAAGCTACCTATTTAAAATAAAACACATGGTTTGTAAATAAATTAGAGAGGTACAAAATTATACATGGAGAGGTATTATTTTACATAAAATCATTTTATTTAATCTCTTATATTTTATTAGTCTTTTTAATATTATTTCCATTGGAAATAACAATATTGTCCCCTATATCATACATGATGGAGGTATACTTATTAAATTCATAAAAATATGAAGTTTTTTTAAGTTTCATCACTGTTTCGTGGAGGTCTAACAAATGAGTTTCTTTTAATGCAGTCAACTAACCATCTAATACCTTCATCAACGCCTTCACTAAAAATAACATAAACAGTAATTCCACAACTGAGTATATAGATATAACTGTTACACTTTTTTGTGTTCATAGTATATTATATTCTCTCAATGATTTTTACAGTTTAATAAACATGTAAAATTAATTCAAATAAACCTATTTGATCAAATTGTATTTACCCTGTTAAAGCTGATACTGGCATCACCATACAATCCCTTTTCCCAATTAGATGAGCATTTTTATTAAAAATTGGTTTTACTTCTCTAACACCCATACAATCTGGAAGATCTTGTTTATTTGCTAATACTAAAAGAGGTACGCCTTGTAGATTTTCATTTGCTATCATTTTGTCTAAAAATAAAAAAGCCTAATACTTATATATCGGTATTATATATGTTAATATAAGGGTCTCTTACCAAATATATCTTTAGATTCATCAATTCTATCTCTATCTGAAGAATCAACTATATAAATAATTGCATGTGACTCCTCATAATACTAAAATATGTTTCAGGATAAAAATGCATAGTTATTGTTATCAGTATAAAAATTACTTTGTCCCATAAAGACTGTAATTCACTTTGACCACCAAGATCCCAAAAATTTAATTGGACACTACCAATATCTATTTTTCCAATATTTAGTCCAACAGTAGTAGTTACTTTGGATGGATGAATTCCTTTATAGTTTTTTGTCAGTTTTGTTTTGGCAGCTTCCAAATAGGTCTGAAATTACCATAAATGTGTTTTGTTGTATAATTCTTTGAATAAAATAAGCTTGTTATTCAAAGGTATAATTACAAAACTAAAAATGAGAATGGTTCACATACAGTTTTACCAGCATTGTCAAGTCCTAAGATCAATACGCAATATTCATCTTTCTGGGATATATATTTATAAAAACCATAAACGAGACTATACATTATTAAGTTCCAATTTATTAAAATTATAGTTAAAAATCTTAGAATGTTTTTTGGCAGCAAGTAACAAGGTTAAAATTGTTTATTTTTGTCATCGCTGATCGCTGTCTGTCGCTGTCACCTGTCACCACGCCACTCTGTCACATTTCAAGACATACGTCATTATGAAGATTAGTTTGGTTCTATGGTTTGTTTTGGAGTTAGGGCTGGGAGTAGGTGTCCGCCGTGTCCGTTTATTTTTTTTATATAATAATGGACAATCACGGATGACGGATGCTTAGATTAAGAATAAAAATAGGGTAATGGTGTGGATCCGGTGGCTGACCTTGAAACGAGTTTTTGCTGCATATAGTCACATACACTACGCATGCGTACATCTTCGATGTTGCCAGATTGCAAGTTATTTTGGAAATATTTTTAGTAGAAAACAAATATGTGCTTTTCAGTGTTTTTTTGTCGATATATACCGCATGATCGAAAAAACGGCGTCCAGTTGGCTGGGAAATGACGATTGAGGACATTTCCCATATAAAATGACAGCGATCTTCATTTCATAGTCATCGCTGATGCATTTTTTTTTCTATCATAATACGCGGTATATTATTTATATTATTATTTTAATATTTCGCACAACCAGAGGCACAACACGTGAACGCTTATTATGTATTTTCATAGTCAATAAAATTAAATAGAAAAACTCTAGATTCCTATAATTAATCTAATTGCTCTAGATTATTATGCTACGTTTAAAAGGGGCTTTATTAAAAATTCGCGAAATTAAAAAGGATGTGTCCAAGTTTTTTCTTTTTTTTTAATTTTTAAATGCTGTAGCTCCATGTTATGTTCATAATAGTTTTTTTTAACATTCCATCAAAACTACGGAGGCCTTAAAAAGCCTTTTAGTCTCCGTAATTAAAATTGTAGAATCAGGTTCAGCAACATTAACAGTTACCTTGTTTAATTCTGCTTATACTTATATTGCATTTTTCTGCTACCTTAAGATTTCTCTATTCTTACACCTAATTTATGTGATTTTCTTAGCATATATGATTTATAAACCATATTTTTCCTAATGGAAAGATGGAATTGGATATGCAAAATTAAGATATTTTAACATTTATTTTCCAGACAAAGCATAATATAGTATTAAGATTAAGACATAACAAATATTATAAGAAAGATCTTAATATAAATCACAAACTAACTAAGTCTTAATTTGGTCTTGTATAAACACAGGTATAAAACTAATAAGATCAAAACTCAACCTTCACATCTCTGCCTTCATCATATTGCCAAGATTTGGCATTATAGGAAACAACAAATTACAGTAAATTAAGAAAAGAATATCAAAGTACACGATATTAAATACTGTAATGTATTCTACGACACAAACCATCTCCCTTCTAAAGAGAAAAAGATAAAACATAAAGCTTATTTTAGTCTTATCACCACACTCTTCGATAAAATATATGTCTAAAATTGCTATTAATCCACTAACTTGATATTTTTAAAAAATTATGATACAAACATTATAATCAAAGTAATATAATATATTAGTAATAATTAATATATATTATATTAGTAACATTATAGGTAAAATGTTACCTCTATCTCCCATAGTATATTGTTCTATAAGACTAGTCATGGTAGTACTTCAATACATGAATACATATAATCAAAACTATTGTTGCCTGTAAATAACTAGAGATTAAATAACTTGAAAGAAATAAAATAATTCTAATAAGTTTAAAACCATTAAGAAAAAATCCGTAAATGATAATTTTTAATTCTAATGTAAATATATAAATAAATGTTATTATTATTACAATTTTATATATCATTCCTTAATGGGTTGGATATCAAGATAAATCTGAAATTATAAAATTAATTATAGAATTTGTATTATTATTTATTAACACTCCAAAAAAAAAATTTCAACTGCAAATAATTCGAAAATAAACTGCAATTTGGCAACATCGACGATGTGCGCTTGCGTACATCTTGCGTAGTATCGATGATCAAATGCAGCAAATATGGGCTTCAAGGTCAGCCACCGGATCCACACCAAAGAATATCTTAATACTATAATATTCTTTGTCCACACCAAGGTCCACACCTTTATATAAATTATTATGGGGATAGATAGGGATGTGATGATAAAATATTTTGCCTTTGACTAAGGAAAATATCTGGTTGCCTATATTATTCATTAACATCAAAAATTCAGGATAAAAATAGATTATTATTCAATTTTTCAGACTCCTAAATTTCAACTTTCAGTTTTTTTCTGCCCGTAGTCTTTTGTCATATTAGTCTGTGTGTTATACGCCTATTTATTTTAATATTGTGCTGTGATTTGTGGATACAATACAACGAAATGAACTAATAAATATCGAGTATGGAATAATAGTTATTTTTAGAAGATACTAAAATACTACATGAATATTTTCATTCATAAACATTACAAAAATTTATGGATACAGGCAAAGAAACAGGCTAACCATATAAATGCTTGTTTAAACTGTTGAATGAACTCTTAATTGCATTTTATTTTTATTTGACCTCTTGCAATAAAGTGTTTACATTATACCTACCTATGCCTAGTTAGTTGTTTTATATATTGCTGAGGTGTAATTCTATATCCATTCAATTATGGTTTCACTAAAAGCCAAAGAAATATTTTGTACTGTTTACTCTGGTCTTTTATTTGTAAGTAATTGGAATGCCGATAGTTACCTATTTATTATAGAAAAATAGCTTTAGTTCATTATTTTAGGTATCTGGTTTAATACTCATAGGCTGTTCTGCATATTTTTTATTTAAACTTTTTTACCATTACACTTTCATTCCATCCAGTAGTATTGGACCATTCTTTACTATATTTGTTTTGGGTATTGTCCATTTATTTCTCACTTGGTTAGGAGTTAAAGGACCTCCAAGGGAACATAACTTTCACATTATTCTGGTAAGAGAATTTATATTTTACTAAACTATGTACATATATTTTACAATATATTTTGCAGTCTGATAAGTAATTCTAATACTTTTTTGAGTGGACAATGTGCGTTAATTTGATTGTTTATTTTTAGTTTATGGTGTTTACAATAATTTTATTGGTGTCAGAATTTGCAGTTGGAATTTGGTCAGTTATATTATGGGATGAGGTTGAAATAGGATCGATCGATTTAATGACTAAATCTTTTCAAAATTATGATAAAAAAATAAAATATTGGAATAAATTACAACATCAGGTTAGTAGTATTGGAGTTATTAAAATTTTATTCAACAGGCAGCGTGGCCGAGCGGTCTAAGGCGCTGGTTTTAGGCACCAGTCCGAAAGGGCGTGGGTTCGAATCCCACCGCTGTCAACTTTTTTTACTTTTTTTTTTACTTTTTTTTTACTTTTTTTTAGTTACAGTGCTGCGGTATGATTGGCACAGGAGATTATAATAATCAAACAATTCCGTCTTCCTGCTATTTAGATTCACAAAAAATAAATTTGGCTACAGTTGGATGTAGATTACCATTAATACGGTATACAAAAAGGATACTTATTGATGGTGTTATTATTGGATTTGTTTGTGCAGCATTTCAGGTGAGTAACTTTGAAATAGATATACAGGGTGACAATTTGAAAAATAATAATTAGGAATATCTGTTAGATAAAATATATTATCAGAATATCTCAAATACATATACCGGGTGTTTCACAAGTGGCTCACTTCTGTAACTTTTTTACGATTTTAGATAAAAAACGAGATTTGGTACGTTAGCATATGACATATAGACATCAGGACTGATTGACATATTATATTCAATTATTTTCGACCACTTCCTGTTTCACCGGAAATTACTACAATTTTTAATATTTAAATGACACCCCCATAATTTTTTTTACTTTATTCGATAGAAAATGACGCTCATAGAATTATATATATATATATATATATATAGTATATATATCCCCGGATTGTCTTTACAAGAGGAAAAAGTTTTTTATTATTGACATTTTGAAAAAAAGCATTCTTCATAAAAAAATGTCTAAACTGGTTAATCCCGTTTATGCTTTTCCAAATTTCCATACCGTTTTAGAGAAAATTAAAAAAAAACATGAAAATATGGATGAATTTTTGAAGTCCTAAAAATTGAAATGAAGTCCTCAAAATCAAAAGGCGTTTCTGTAGTAAAAGCGTTTTGATTTCATTCTTTGATAGATGGTAAGTAATTATTAATTTTGATTAACGTCACATTTTTGTTATTGTTAAAGTATCACATTTTCCGATAACTATTATCACTTTTTCCCTATGTTTTTTCCGCAGCATTTTGTACTTCTTTAACATTTTAAAATAGCAAAAAGTATGACGTTAATTAAAATTCTATCAATAACATAATAAAACGAAATTATATTACCACAGAAACGCGTTTTGGTTTTTAGGACTTTAGGACTAGGAAAAAATTCAACTATATTTTCAGGTTTTTTTAATTTTCTCTAAAACAGTATGGAAATTTGGAAAAGTATAAACGGGATCGACCGTTTTTGAACAAGCAAAATTTTTTATGAATGCATTTTTCCAAAAATTCGAAAAAATTGAGTTACAATAAAAAATTCGATTTGGACATCTTTTGGACAAGAGACGAAAAACATTAGATGATCAAATCTATTTTTCCGAGGTTCCTTGATTAAAAAGTTGTGTTTTTAGCATAGCTATGGCTATGGCCAATCAATACCAAATCTCTTTTTTTTTTATCTGAAAAAATAAAAAAGTTATAAGGGTGTGCCATTTTTGAGACTAACCTAACACCCGGTTTATTGGAGATTGAGAAAACAAAAATGAGATAGTTTTTTACTCACCCTGCTTTACTACTTAAAGGGTAGTTAGTATAGCCTGTCCAATGAGAAAAATATCACAGTGATAGTAGTTTGTCATCATTTTAACTTATAAGTAAAGCGTGTTTTTTTTTCGTGTCAAATTGACGCCACAGGTTTTAAAAAGTGCAAAATTAAAGTTTCTATGCATCCAAATATTTCTTATGTATTTATAGTTGGCTTTACGTGCGTAGTAATTGTCAGTATGGCTCATCGAAATTCATAAAATGTTAAAAAAGTTTTAACGATTATCAGAATTTGGGACTATTTTCCACAGCTCTCCATATAAAATTACCCGAGAAATTTGTAAACATATTAGGATTTCAATCGATTAAAGGTGAGTTTATATGCATCCGTAATCATATTTAAATATGGGCTGTCTTTTTTGATATAAAGCAAAAAAAATGCATAAAATCAACGACGGACAACGCATTATAGGCTTGGTGCATTTCAGTTGATTTCAACAAATTTCGACCGCAGCGCACTCTACGGCAGAAATCAGAAATTATCAATATATAGTTCACGCCGCCGCGTCGTCATGTCGATCGCATCAAAATAATATTGGGCGCATTCAGTAAACACACCGGTAAAGACCTACAGATAACTTTTCATTGAACGAACAAGTTACCGGTACGTAAATAAACCGGAAACAAAATACGGTAGGCTCTTAAGTGATCGGTGAATCAACCGGTGAGTTACCATTGGCATTCAATTTAATTTTCTGCACCGGTGGACTAACCGGTGTGTTTACTGAATGCGCCTATTGAAATCGGGGTTGTGTCATAATATTTAAGTAGTTTAGTTTTTTCCTGGTGCAGTTAATGAGACTATAAAACACTCACGTACGAGGTTTGTATGATATAACGCTGTTTCGACTAGGTAACTACTTTCGATAGGCGACTCAACGACTGGCGAATTAGCTAAAACAAGGCTAAAACAATAACCGTAGACAATATTGCCAGATTGCCAATTGCCACTGCCTAATAGATTCTATGTGCCAAAATGATTTTACAGTCAAATAAAATAATAAATGAAATCATTTAGAAACAAATACAGATGACAAACAAGCAAATTTCTAATTTGCTGCATAATACAAATTTAATCTTTCTAAAACACAGTTATTTAAAATTGATCATATAAAATAACATGGACTGTTTCTTACATAGTTCTGTAATAAGATCGGAACTGGCAATACCGCATCGGCGGCATCGGAACATCGGGTGCATCCGTGCTGCGGTAACGCACTGCTTTTGCTTGTCCATATCCATGTAATGTTAAGTTGCGGCCGTGCGTTCGATTTCGAATAACGGGATGCGTTCTTTAGGTAATAATAGGACGTTGAACAGGTGGCGTTTGTTTTGTATGATGTTTCCGGCTTTGCAACCGTAATAAACACAATACTAACTTACTATTTAGAAAATAATGTAGGTCGCATTGTAGGATTTGAAGGTAGATATATAATGAAAATTGATCAGATAAATATATTTTTATTTTGCCTCTGTCTTGAATAAATGGAAGGGTAGGCAATGCTTTTTTGCCTATATGTAATGCACGCCAGTGGTATCATATGATCGAAAAAAATGGCGTCAAAGACGGCTGGGGAATGAATGACAACCGATGATAACTTTGCATATCTGTATCTGACGAGATCAAGCCTAGAAGTCATTAGTTAGTACACTTCTTAATTTTTTAATGGCTCTTACTAACACTTGGCCTTAAGAAGGTTGTAATACCGTATAATCCAAAAAAAAACGGCGTCTAGTTGGCTTGGAAATGACGGTTGATGACATTTCCCATATAATTTTACATATAAAATGACAACGATCCCCATGTCACAGCCATCGCTGGCGCCGTTTTTTTTTCGATCATATTGTATATTTTTATATTGAGTAAAAATTATTTTTAAATGGTGTGGTTTAAAATTCAAGAAAAAAAAATTTGGAAATTGATTTGTATGTATGTCTGGAAACGTTCTATCCTTTAATATTAATATTTCTATTATTAGTATTAATTTATGACAAGTTTTATGTCAATTTTTAGTAAATAATGTCTAGAGTCTAGAGAATAACCTCGCCAAAATTATCATCGACTATCTATCATTCCCCAGCCGTCTTTGACGATTTTTTTTTCGATCATACGGCTTATATTTTCTCATTGGACAGAAATTCGGATAGATGAAAACTAAATAAAATATAAATAATAAATAAAACCAAATATAGGCGATAACAGGCGAACAAAGTTTCGATTTTTTAACTGTTTTTATCCCTTTAATTTTTTTACAATTTACTACTAGTACGAGTAGTATAATTTCTAGCTCAATGTACTTGTATATATCGGGTGCGTCTCAAAAGAGGCTCAGCCTTATAACTTTTTCATTTTTTCAGATAAAAAAACGAGTTTTGGTATGTTAGTAATATAAGACATAAATTAGGATTGATTGACGGTATTCAATTATTTTTGATCAATTCCTGTTTCACCGGAAATGACTACAACTTTTGATTTTTAAATGACACCCTTGGTATATTTCTACTTTATTCAATAAAAAATGATACTCTGAGTAGAATGACATATCATATGTCAACTTTTAACGGTTTCGCTTAAAAAATCGTATTTTAAATTTTAATCTAGAGCGGCTGCGTTAAAACTATTAATTTTTAATCAATCATTTTAATGTTTTTTTTGTGTCTTGTCCTGGCCGCTTAAAAGATGCTCAAATCGTATTTTTAATCATATCTCAATTTTTTCAAATTGGACAAAGGCGGCTCATTAGCATATTTGGAAAAAGCATTTTTTACGAATAATTTGGTACCACACACTTGGTATTTCCAGTCAAATTGTCGTTATGAACCGCATGTTACAATTTTAAATAAACCATATGCGAAAACATCAAAAGTTGACATATGATATGTCATTCTATTCAGAGTGTCATTTTCTATCGAATAAAGTAGAAATATACCGAGGGTGCTATTTAAAAATCAAAAGTTGTAGTCATTTCCGGTGAAACAGGAAGTGATCAAAAACAATTGAATAAGTCAATTAATTCTATTTTATGTCATATACTAACATACCAAATCTTGTTTTTTTTATTTGAAAAAATAAAAAAGTTATAGGGGGTGAGCCACTTGTGAGACGCACCCGGTATATTGTTTAATATGTCACTCTGTAGAGTAGAATTAAATAGTTTCTTAAGTTTTATAATTAAAATCATTAGTAAGTTATAAACTAAAACAAATTATTTCTATAGGGTTTAGGCTTCTTTGCGTTTTATTCATTTTTCAAAACATTAAGAGTGGAGAGGACTGAGAGAGCTGCTAGAAGGGCGGCGATGCAGAGAGAGATGTCAGTTGCTAGCGGGGGTATACAGACTCAAGTGTATATACCTGTAGGATCGGCACCTCCGCCGTCAGGTGCCGCTTCTGGTGGTGAACCTGCTTCAGTTGCTGCACCTAGTGAGGGAGATAAGGGCCCATCTACACCGCCAGTAAGCGCATCGCCATAGAGTAGTTTTCTTAAGATATTTTTGTTTTGATAGAATTACGTTTTTTAATTAGAAGTACACTGAGTTAATTGGATGATTTTCTACTTATTATTTATTCAAATTACAATTGAATAATTAAATATGTTATCATCAAGAAGTTTTTACGAGCAAGCTTAGTTTTTAGAGCAGATAGACAATGTCTAGACAATAGTGGGAAACCGTACTAATGTTTTTTTCAGTGAAAGTGAAAGTTTGCTTATCATAAAACTTTTTGATCGCCCCAATTGAATCAATGGTTGTAGGTTTGTTTTGTTCCAAATATGCATGTGTCGTTTTTGGTTCTGTTAAAGAATTCGACGATTATCTTAAAGCAAATAGTGACATTATATAATTTTTTTTTCAGAACAAGTACCTATGTTAAGGCGCAGTACAAGTACAGGGTAGTCGAAATTGGTCTGTTTTAACAGAGAAAACCTATTTCCTGACTAGATAGAGCAAAACCGACATAGATGTCATGGGTTCGATTTCTGAGATACGTTTAATGACGTAAACAACCTGTTGATATTTTCACTTCCAACTGAGATACGGGGTCTTTTTGAATTTTTTTACCATTTGGAAAATTGTCCATAACTTTTGTATTTTGCGGAATAATAAAATTCTGTAAAAACCTTCTTAAGACACTTTTTTAAGCACAATCCAATGGCGTAGTCAGTTTTTTTTCTACGCTTGCTCTTTTTGTCAGAATAATAAAAAATATAATTTTTTAAATAGAAATCTTAGTTGGCTATGAACTTAAAAAAATGCTGACGTTTAACCATTTCTAACGATATGAAGTTATGGGCATTTATTTCTAAGAATGAGAGAAATATTAGGTTTTTTAATTTTGTATCGAAGCGGGCCTTGATTTTGTGTTGACCTAGATGCCTAATTATTTTTTATCACAATTTAATATTCTATATTATTATTTATCTGCATAATTAAAGATTTTTGAAAAGGTAAACCAACATTCTATATCAGTATTACCAATTACAATTAAAACGCCGGGTGACAAATGAACTATTAAATGAAGAATTGGATTGGAACAAGGGGCTTCATATCTTAGCCACACAAGGTTTTTTTTTAACTCCTTTCGACTTTTTTATGGCGCAAATTAAAAGACCTTATATATAAGAGAAGAACCATTGGGACGAGAGAAGAATTATTGCAGAAGGCTACTAGGCAAGCTTTTGGACTTATTACACCAGTTCGTCTATAACAAATCGCTGTAACTTTGTACGCAAAAGATGTTTATTGTGTATTTAACAAAGAGGTGCTCATTTGGAACATCTTTGATGATCTTTTTTAGAAAACTCTATTTGTCACTCAAAAAATACGTCTTTTTAGTTTTGTACTTTGTTTATTGTATTGATTTCATTAGTAATTACTAATACTAATACTAATATAGATTATTAATTTACCTTTTCAAATGTCTTTAATTATGCAGATAAATAATAATATAGAATATTAAATTGTGATAAAAAATAATTAGGCAAATAGGTCAACACAAAATCAAGGTACACTTCGATACAAATTTGAAAAACCTAATATTTCTCTCATTCTTAGTAACAGATACCCAAAAATTCATATCGTTGGAAATGGTTAAACGCCAGCATTTTTTTAAGTTCATAGCCAAATGTGATTTCTATTTAAAAATTAAATTTTTTATTATTTATGACAAAAAGAGCAAGCATAGAAAAAAACTGACTACGCCATTGGATTGTGCTTAAAAAAGTGTCTTAGGAAAGTTTTTACAGAATATTATTATTCCGCGAAATACAAAAGTTATGGGCAATTTTCGAAGTGGTAAAAAATTCAAAAAGACCCCGTATCTGAGTTGACAGTGAAAATATCAACAGGCGGTTTACGCCATTAAACTTATCTCAAAAATCGAGCCCATGACATCTCTGTCGGTTTTGCTCTATCTAGTCAGGAAATAGGTTTTCTCTGTTAAAACAGACCAATTTCGACCACTCTGTACAATGAATGAAGGTAAATGTATTTGTATATGTATAGGGTGTCCCATATTTCGTGTGTTTTGCAGGGTTTCTCATTAATAGCCTTTCTCATAAGCCCCTCATACACTAAAAGATTTGGCCTGCGGATAAAAACTTTGCATTTATAGAACAGACCAAGCCTGTTACAGGTCAAGCCTTATGTGGACCAAGCCTGTTACAGGCCAAATCCGTAGACTTGATCTCTCAGAGTACACACTCTTTCTTTCTACTCAGTTACTCAGCAGGACTCAGTTTTCAGTTTTCGTTAAGATAACCAAGATCCAAAATACAAAGAGGGTCTAAAATTGCAACATTTTGAAATTCGCTCTGTATTTTCAGAACTAAGAGGGCTAGGACAAATATGTGTGTAGCATCTTTAGCTTTATAAAAAAAGTAGCACGGTGATGTGAAAACTGCATCTTTGATCTTTTTATCTCTAATCTCTTAAAACGAGAAACTGCATAAAACACACGAAAATGGGATACCCTTTACACTGTACAGGGTGGGTCAAATTGGACGCTTTTAAAGGGAAACAGCAATATTATTTTCGTTTAAATTGCTGCTCACAGCTAGAATTTTTTTGCATTACAACCGGCGTCGTTCAAAGCCTACTTATTCAAAGTCGGCGATTTTTTAAAAACTCTATATATCGAAGAGGAATCGACCAAAATATGAATTGTGCTATATTTTTGGAAAGGTATCCCATATTTATAAAATAAAATTTTCTGTTTATAATTCTTAAATTATTAATTTTAAAAAAATTATACTTAAACCATTACATTCTACGTAAAAAGGTGCTTTGGAAATGTTTTGAAAAAAAATACAAAATTTTCCATAGCAAAAAAGTTATAGCGATTTTTTAAAAATGCACATTTTTGAAAAACTTGTAACTCCGAAACGGTAACAGATATCGATGTGCGGTTTACACTATCATGTTTTTGAAAAAAATTGAGGTCCAGACACCGATATTAGTTTTCGTCTATCTCCTACAGAAAAGTGTGTTTCCCTTTAAAAGCGTCGAATTTGACTCACCCTGTACACATCATCATCCGAATGAATTCATTCGCCTTCGTTCGCTGTATGTGTACACGCCTTTATAATTAAGCACGTAATTATTATTATTTGTAAGTTTTATTTGTTCTAATAATTTTGCTTTATGCTTTACACCACTTTTTTAAGAAATTACTTGCAGCAGTCTTTTGAGTAGTATGTTTTTTTGCCCAATAACAGTCGCTAATATATTGAAATATTTCTAGTTCAAGTTTCTTCAGAATGTGCTGAGCTATTATTGATCTTAAAAGTTCAGATGAAATTCTGGAAGAATCACCGCTTTCCACTTGGAAAAAAGTATTATAAGAAGTCAAACCACAATAAACCACTGGTTTTTACCACACTAATTGTAACAACTGTTTTTACCAGAATAATTATAAGTTTTACTGTTGCTTTCCGGTTGGATAAACTAGTGTCATTGGCATATTGAGACTTTTTTAAAAGAATTTTGTTCTTGCAAGAATGATCTGTGAGCCATATTGGGCTCTGGATACCAAAGAGATATATTTAACTTGTTCTGCACAACGTTTTTTAAATTAAGTCTCGATATATTGCTTATTTTGTATGGAGACATAGATCTGATTTTATCTATGTATTAATATGTGCCTTGTTAAATATATGTGATACTTTAGAACCTCACTTTTGTATAATTACATTTTTTTTCTTTAAATATCACGTTTTAAGACTTACTAGACTTATAACTAGATAATTATTTTTTGTACAATTTAGATTGTATTTTCACTTTGTTTTTTTACAACGTTTTTTATACATTTATGTATTTGATATATTTTTTTTGCGAAATACAAGGATATTTTTAGTAGAACTCAGTGAGATTGATAGTTTTTCAGTTATAAATAGATGGATTTGATATATAGGAATTATTGGCAGGCCAGTAGTTAAAAATTAGTAACTCTATTATTGAAAATCCTAAATTTAAAAACTTTTGAGACGAAACTCGTTGGAGATTTTACTAGAAAAGTATCTAATGTGTATTTCATTTTACGCACATGACAAAAGTTTTGAATAAAGTTTTTTTCAAAAATTTATTATGTGATTTTTTTTTCTCTTAAGCTATCTTTACATTCTTGGCTGTTTTATTTCGGCTAGACTATTTAAAATAAGTTTTATTAGGTAAAGTAAGCAGTTAATAGTTTTTGTATAATTTACTTCTATTTAATTCAGACACAAATTCAGAATATAATAAAGAAAGGATATTAAACATTTTTTAGATATTCTTAGTGTAGATTAGTGGCCGGCCGTAGCTCCAGCGTTAGTGTGTCGATCTGCGGAGCGGAAGGTACTGGGTTCGATCCCCAGCCAGTACGGTCGCGTTATTTATTTAAATAAAAATATTTATTTATCTAAATAGAGCGACCAAAGAGCCGCCATGCGCCACCTCAAGGAAGGCAATTGCCAACCACACCTTGAGTATAATTTGCCTTGTACAGCCTCTCAAATAGTGCCGTTCGGATTCGGCAATAAACTGTAGGTCCCGTGTACTTGTGAAACACTGATGACACACATCATAAGTACATGCGAGAGGTAGCCGACGCTCTATATAGAGTATGGTACTGTAAGAAGAAGAAGAATAAGTGTAGATAAATTTATGTTTATTCTGATCTTAGGATGCAGTTGAAGAGCACACGGGAACGAGTATCGAAAAACGATAAATGTCCAGGAAAGCGTTTTTAATTCAAATTACGCATAGACTTTCATCGTTTTTTCCATTTTTAAATCACTGTTTCTATGTGACCGCTATCGATATTCCCGTTTATTTAGGTATCAAAAGATGTAGCTTTTTAAGAGAGAAAATATGCATTAAAACCAAATTAGCCAAAAATGGACTTTCATCGTTTTTTTCGTGTGCTCTTCATAAAAGATTGATCGAGTCGTTCATTTGAACGAGTATTAAAAATGAATCGTGCGATTCGATTCACTGCTTAGAATACCGGTTCGTTCAATTGAATCGTGGGCAGCGGGTTTTGTATTACCCAAGTAGCATTTTCACGACTTGCCACCACATGTTTACTAAACACAACGTTGGATTAGTTGCAAAAAATAATTAGCTCCCTACCTTGAGTATTAAAATAAATTTAAACGTTTTTATAACGTTGTGCCGACGTTGGACTAGTACCACAAATTAACTCTAGTACTACAGCAAAGTAGAAGCTTCTGCGACGTCGAATAAACGTTGTCTTGTAACCTTTTTTGCTTAAGTGATCTTTAGGTGATTCGGACAACGTAGTTACAACGTTGGACAATATAGAGTTTTCCGACGTCAGTTTCAGGACCTATTCCAACGTTATGCAAACGACGTCTGTTTTACTAATTCCAACGTTGTTTAGATTTCCTTATTCTTACGTTGGTAAGACGTCGAGTCACTACCCTTTTGCAACTGTATTGAACCATAACCTTAAATCTTAAATTTTCACTTCATTGTTCTGTTCAGTCAGACAGTTCAGTGCTGTTTTTGTTTTTATAAAAAAAAATAAAATGGGACATAAGAAAGGTACATATAAAACTAAATTTAAATATACATCGATATATATTACCGATAGCTTATCCACTCCCTCGTTTATTTAGATTATAGAGGGCGGCACAAGCTAGACTCTAGGATGACTAAATTAGGCAATCTTGCGACTAGTATACTACCTGTTAAGGCCGAACTGCGACTTTATATACTACCTGTTAAGGCCGAACTGCGACTTTATTAGTCCAAGTTATGCGACTACTCGAACTACTCCATCTTAACAACAAAGTGAAAGCCGCCATGTTGTTAAATAAGAAAATGTTTCGTTCCTAAAATAGCAATTCCTGCTTTTTGAATACATTAACTTGAAATATTTGACCCTAAAAAACACGCGGAAACAATTTTTTCGACTGCGAATAAATTATTCTCATTTTACTAAAAAATTCAAGAAAATTTTTAAAACTTCTTTAATTTTAAGGCCCATTAGTATTTTTCAAAGTAGAAACAATACATTTATCAATAAAGTTGTTTGCGTTTAACTTTTTGCCTTGGGTAACGAGTTACAGAGTCGGTTAAAGTGTTTCAATAATTATGATCTTCAAACATCCTCCACACTTAAATACTTTTGTTTTGTTTTCCTTCACTGCCATCTGACATATGTCTCTAACTAAATTATAAAAATAATATTTTTACTATAATTATCCCAATTTAGGATAAAACGCGACTTAGACGCCATATTAGTTTTGTATTTCTGTGAATTAGGATTTTAAACAACGTTGCAGTTTTTACTAAATTAGGCTTCTAGCCAACGTCGGTATCCAACGTCGTTTCGGCCCAAAAATTATTCTCCAAACTAGTGCAGACTAGGGTTGGCACGAGGTTGTGCCGACGTTGCGCCCCAACGTTTGGTCGCGTGACACAACGTTGTCCCGACGCCGACGTCCAAATGCTGCTTGGCTATTGTTGCGGCTCGGCTTGAGAATAAACCAGGAGTCATTTTTTATTGAAAAACGGCAGACAATACGAGCATAAACAAAAACTACAACTACAGATTATTATCGTTGTCACGACATATACCCATAATGCAGCCAGCCATACATTCTAGTCATAGGCATTACGATTCTTTTTAGCGAATCGAATCACACGATTTAATTTCTAATATTGAATCGTACGATTCGTTCATTTGAACGAACCATACGCACAATTTACGTTTCATAAAAACAAGAATCATAACACTACCGGCGATAATTTGGTCGGACAATTACTTAAGCGACCAGAAGAAGAAATATACAGTTCTTTCATTTGTTTTTCAAGACTATGGCACTGGCGTAATTGGATTGATTATTATTTTATCAATAATATAAAATTATCAATCCAATTCATATACCTATACTATTTATTAAATACTTCTTAATAACAATTTAATGTTTTTATTAGAGCAAATTTTAATTCCGATTTCATAATCATATAATAAAATAGTATATAATACCACATGACAGAAAAAAAATGACGTCCAGTTGGCTTGGAAATGAACATCAGTGACATTCCCCATATAATTTTACATATAAAATGACAGCGATCTTCATTTCATAACCATCGCTGACGCCGTTTTTTTATCATATTGAGCAGAGACCAACAATATTTATTTGCAGTTGCATAAAAACATGATTTCGTCTTTTAGTCCGACATTTAATATAGTCGGTTATATATTATTTTAACAAAAATATTAACGTGAAAATTAAATGCATTGCAGATACTATCCCTTATTAAGTACAGTATAAATAAGTTTATTTCTTGTATATAACTTTTCTTCAGCGATAGTTATGAAATTAATGAAGATCGCTGTCATTATACCGCGTGGGTCTCTAAAGTGGCTCCCACCTATAACTTTTTTATTTTCTCAGATAAAAAAACCAGATTTGGTATGTAAGTATGTGACATTAATTAGGATTGATTGACGTATTCAATTGTTTTTGGTTACGTCCTGTTTGACTGGAAATGACTACTTATATATATACTTTTATTTTTATTTTTATTTTTATATACTACTTATTTATATATATATATAACTTTTGACATTTTCGTTTAATAAAAAATCGTATTTTAAATTTCAATCTAGAGTGCCATGGCTATGTTAAAAACACTAATTTTTAGTCCAGGAGCCTTGGAAATATAAATTTGATAGTCTAATGTTTTTACTGTCTGATCCTGACCGGTTAAAAGATGCCCAAATCGTATTTTTAATCATAATTTAATTTTGTCAAATGAAATGAGGGTGGCTCATTAACATATTTAGAAAAGGCATTTTTTTACGAATAATTTGGTACTACATACACTTGGTATTTGAGTCAAATTTTCGTTATGAACCGCATGTTATAATTTTAAATAAACCATATACTATATGAAAATGTCAAAAGTTGACATATGCTGTGCCATTCTATTCAGAGTGTTATTTTCTATCGAATAAAGTAAAAAAACACCGATAATGCCCTTTCAAAATCAAAAGTTGTAGTCATTTCCTGTGAAACAGGAAGTGACCGAAAACAAGTGAATACGTCAGTCAATCCTAATTTATGTCATATACTAACATACCAAATCTCGTTTTTTTATCTGAAAAAATAAAAAAGTTACAGGGGGTGAGCCATTTTTGAGACGCACACTGTATAATCTGTATATGAATTGGATGGATAATTTAATATTATACTTCAGTTGGACACGTCCTCCTAGATCACCCTGTAGTAATACTTCTGTCACTGTTTTGAGCGCATGTTTAAAGAAAATGATTCACCGCCTCCCATATCACACCACTTTTGTGTCTCATTATACTTCTTGCGCTGGCACGAGCAGCAGTGTAAATTTAGCAGACAAAATTTTGTACAAAATTCGCGGAAATGGGTAAAGAAAAGAGAAGAAACTTGAAAAGAAAACTCTATACATATGAATCAAGTAAGTAAATAACCTTTAACTCCCTAATTATTTTTTAGTTCATACAAGTAAACAAGGGTAGTAGAAATAGCTATGAGATGATCTAGGGGGTGTAGGCTATTATTCTACACCCCGCATTGCCTAAAATTATATTATTTTCTTCGGCGCCGCGGCAGTAAATTGCCTGCCTTAAAACATACCATTCATGACTCATAGCACTATCGAATCCGGTAAATAAACAATTTTTTATCGACTCGAGTATAAGCAAATTTTCTTATCTGCTCGATGAAGTAAACCTATATTAAAATTTAACGGAACCTAAACGTTATTCAGGGCATAAAAAAGGTGGGCTCTTGCTAAATAATCAAGTGTCAGTAACACCTACAGGGTGCTAATAAAGTACTTGCTAAATATCCAAGTACCGGCAACACCCATTGAGCGTCAATGTCCTACAAGATTACTTGCTAAATATTCAAGTTCACAATCTTAGTTGCACTTGCTAAATATTCAAGTGTCAGTAACACCTACAGGGTGCTAATAAAGTACTTGCTAAATATTCAAGTACCGGCAACACCCATTGGGCGTCAATGTCCTATAAGATTACTTGCTAAATATTCAAGTTCAAAATCTTAGTTGCACTTGCTAAATATT